TTCCCAGTGTTTGGCACCTTTTTTGAAAGATGATGATACGGTAAATGTTAGCCTGTAGGCACAATAAGTCTTTTATACCAAGGGTAGAGATGACTAGCCAGGAATATTACCCGGTCTTCTGTCATTACATTTTCCACTTGCAGCTTCTTTGGCTCTCAGTTGTGTTTTGAATTTTTAAGCACAAAAATTACCAACGCCTATAAACTTGGAAGTCTTGGGTAGTAGCTGAGAGGTGGGGAAATGCGAGTAGCCACATCTACTTGGTTAAAAAATAGTCTCCTGGAATGGACCTAGATAGTTCAAAATGCAAAGGACTTAAAAGTCCAGCCCATCCTTTCCACGTCCTCCGGTTGAGGCCTATGAATTTGGGTGGCCCTTTTATCTGAAAATGTTGGTCCTAAATGAGGCATGGGATCTTTCGCAAGCGTGATATGATGGATCTGGTGCGATATGGGATCTGGCCCTAAATGACTCGCGCTTCCACGGGAGCTCAGGCTTGGCCTTGCAAAGCCAAACTCAGAAACGTTCATCCTCGTGGAGCTGATTTCGGCTCTGCCGGCTAGGCGGATGGAGGAATGCCTCATTGGGGACTCCTGCCAGCGTTTCCCCCCCAGCCCTCTCGCTTCTCTTCCGACGGGGGCGACTGCACGCATGCCCAGCAGGAGCAGGACTTTTAGCAGAACATCTTCCTGTCTTCCTTTCCACCTTCCTCTCTGTCTTTGAGTAAAATTCGGGGATGCTGGGCTCTCCTGGAATAGCAAGGCAGGCTTTCTTTTGCCAGTTGCTATTGAAAATTGTGGCTTTAGCACAGGAGGTTTGCAGCTGTTGCTGCTTCCTAGCTAAGGCGAGCCATGTTGTTTTCTCAGGGCCTGATTCAAAGCCTTCTGCAACCTGGGCTTGGTTTTGGATTGGGCCCTAGATCCTTTCCTTTTGTCAGCACATCTGTAATCCATGGATTATTTGAAATAAATAATCTACTTATGTGCTCACACCCTGGGTTTTCTTTAGAGGCTCAGCCCAGAAGAAATAAACTGAAGACTCCTTGGCTGTTTTTATTCCAAGTGGAGCAGAGCACTCTGTGTTTCAGGATGGAAAGTAACTGCTGAAGAGGTATTTTCCAGCACTTTTTTGATCTAGTCACTAAAGATGTGTGAAATGCTGGTCGTCTCCGAATTGGTTACACTCGGATTGCACTCTCACGTCCACCCTGGCTCCTGCTAACCACACCCCACGTATTGGCAGCTCGGCTGCAACTTGTTTTTGCTGCTCTGGCTTCCTGCTTCTCCTTCCCTCCCCTGCTCCACTCCACTATTTCTACCTTTAATTTAGTCAAAAGGCCAGTGCCAAAACCTACCCTATTAAATCTATAGGCACTGTTTACATTCCCCCCTTTTTCATTTCCCCAATTTGGGGAACATTTGATGGCTTCCTTCCTCAAAACCATATGTCAGACCCTGCCTGCACATACAGTCGGCCAGAGGTTAGAGAGGGGGAGCAAGCTTCATTCCTAGAATAATTGGAATTACAGGCGACCGTAACCAGAGCTGGTCTGAGCTGCACCTTCGCCAGTCTCCTTCTCTGTCACAGGAACAAAGAGCAAAGTGGTTAGCACTGCTGCGGAGAAGTGCGGTAGGGGGTCACCCTAGGACTTGCCCCATTCCCACCCTCCAGCCACCCCAACCTCACTTGTCTTCTAAAACTACCTGTGAACTTATTCCTAAACCAGAGTGCTTCAATGATCATGCCTCTTGTTGGGGTCAGTTAATAAAGCTTTGCAAAATGCAAAGCCGATTGTCCTCCTCAGCTTTCCTCGGCTAACGTATCTTGGTCCTGGAGCCTCTCTCTCCCTGCCCCAGAAGGTCTGATGGCATCCATGTGGCCTGCCTCTCGGTTGACTCACATCATTTTTTCCACGGGGAGATGAGTGAAGGGGGTGTCACGGGTGGGACTTGACCCACTAGCCCTAAAAGGACCAGTCACTCGATGCCAGTGTTTTCATGAAGATTTATAACCCATAGGGCTCTCATTTCTCTTTTCAGTCCCCACCTGCTTTTTCTCACACTTCACCTTTCCAGGTTGCTGCAGGTAGCGTGCACGTGCATATCCCTTTCCTTGAAGAGCCCTCTCTGAACAATAGTGAGAGAAAGAGACATTCGGGCCTGAATTCTCAATAGGGCTCCGTAAATTCTTGACTCTTGGATCCTAATGCTGAGAAGCGCTGAGTACCACTGATATGCACTGGAGCTGTGGGTGTCCATAACCTCCGAGTCTCAGGATTACCTAGGATCAGGGTGGGCAATTTAAAGCTAGCGATAGTCTTGAAAGGCTACATCCAGGTTGGGGATGGTGCCGAGCACTCTCCGCTTCTGCTGACATTGGTAGAAGCCAAAAGGTGCTTTAGCATCCTTCAGGATTTGGCCCTAGAGGAGCCGAGCAGAAAATGGTGGTGCCCTTTCGAGGGAAGAAATGACAGGAGAGGTCCGGCTGAGTTAAGGGAAGTGATAAAATAAGAGGAGGGGATGCAATGTCCAATTTTGCCTTTCAGGAGAGCACCAGTTCAGCCCAAGGCCTGTTTGTTGCGGAGGCAGAAATAAGAAATTCTGGAAAATTAAGGTGGTGACAGTTTTTCCCTCTCTTTTAGCTAAGCACAAAAGCAACAGGCACAGAGTTAAAGATCAGTGCTTGGCTTTTTCTTTTACAAAGCTCTGGGCCAGTCATCTTTTCCCTGGGACCCTGCTTTACTATAAATCAGCCCAGAAATCTCCAAATGTATGTCTGGCGAGCACAAACTTGGTTTTGCTTTATAAAGAAAGGTCTGAAAGGTTTGCATGTTTTTGTCAGGTTTTTGTGTATTTGGCTTGCTCCCAAGAATATGGTAGGGGTGGGAAGAAGACATTTAAGAAGATAGCCTACTTTTGGTTTTAAAGAAAATAATTCCCCCATCTGATTCAACTGCGATACTTAAGCCACCAGGAATGTCATTGCACTTGGAAAGGAGTTTTCAAAATTGCTGAAATCCTTTAAGAAACTCCACAGATCCCCAAAAGTCAGTGTAATCTGTGATTGTGAGCAATTTGGGTGCTTTAGAAAAAGCTCCTTTGCATTGCTTCGGGCCACATGGAGCAGCTAATTGCACAGAAGCTGCTTGGAAAGCCCTGCCCCAAGGTTTATACCTAGGGTCTGCTCACTCAGGGTCCCCAGCTTCAAAGGCACCTGGACTTAGAGCCTGACCCTCAGCCAGAAGGATGAAAGGAAGGGGCAGAAGGACTCATTGCATTGACTTTATCAATACTGCACTGTTTTCATATAGAGCGGTTGGAGCAGGGGCTAGAGTTAGTGTTTTCTTCAAGTGGGCAGAGCTTATGGCTGGATTTATCTTGGGAGATCAGTGTCCAGCTTAACCTAGTTTGAATGTGAGCACTGCAAACCCCAACTTGATGCAGTAGCATCTTCACTGTGCCAGTAGGATTTCTAGGGACATATCCCACGGCTTTTTGTACAACCCTAAGCAGAGCCTTTCTGTGCGTCTTTCCTAATGAGCTGTGAGAGAAGTTGTGTGTCCTTCTGGGAGTGTGGGAGGGTAGGAGTGGGAGCGTGGAAAGGTATTGAAGGACTGTTGGACATTGGCCAAACTCAACAGCGACACATATTTTCTAACCTATGTCCTTAGACCAACAGGGCAATAACCTACATCCTTGAAGGACTTTTGGCATTAGGTGATTTAGCTTGTGTCCTCGCTGCAAAATGGATAGCAGGATAGCAGCTTGCATGAAAGCTTCACTGAGATTTAGCCCTGCCTGGGTAGCCTGAGTGGAAAGGGCCATTAAGTTCAGGTGAGAGGGTTTCCTGTGCGGAGGAAGGATGAGGTTAGAGAGCATACCTAGGAAGGGCCTGGGTTACCCCTTCAACAAAAGTGTGTGTGTGTGTTCATGCATGCACGAGCACCTGTATCTTAAACCAAACCTAACTATCTTTGGTCACCTTGCTGGGGTCGCTTGACCCCAGTTGTCTTTCCCACTTGGTGCAGGGGGCTGGACCCAATGATCTTCCCTGGTCCCTTCCAGCCCCTTACAGTCTATGAATCTTAGGCCCAGACTTTCCCCAGCAACTCAGAACAGGTTTTTTGTACACAGGTATAATGAAAATGCTGACTACAGTGATTATAGGACGCAGCAGCAGGGAGAGCTGTGTGCAGCAGTGTGGCATTCCTATGTAGCTGAGAAAGCAAGTTCAGACTGAGTGTGTGTGGAGGAATTTGGCAGGTCTCTGGGCTATAAAATTCTTGTTCCTGGAGTGGAGGATGGAGAGTCTGGGGGCAGCGCATGCACCTTCTCGTGCCTTTTTAAAAGACCTTTATCAGGAGGTGTTGGGAAATGCACTGTTGCCCACAGGGGCTCCAGAGTTTTACTTTTGGCAGGAACAAATGAGCAAGCACATGAGATTGTTTTACTTACTAATAAGAGACTCTCGTGCTCTGGGGCAGTGGGACAGCAACCGTACATAGCCTAATGGGAGGAGCACTCGGGTAATCAAAGGAGACCAATGACTGTCTCATGGTTTGCTTTTCCCCATAGGAAAAGATTGGCTGGAGGAAAGAGGCTTCTCACTTGCTTGTCCTCACGACAGATGATGTGCCGCACATCGCGCTGGATGGGAAGCTGGGGGGGCTGGTCCAGCCCCATGACGGCCAGTGCCACCTGAACGAAGAGAACGAATACAGCGCATCCAATCGGCTGGTGAGAAGAAACTGCCACGTGTGCCGTGCCCCGCGTCCTACTGCTTTTGGTGCTCTGACCTCCTGGCATCCATTCCTTCTGCTGTTTCCCCTTTTTGTCTATTAAAAGAGCAGCTGTCCCAGACTTCAGGGGTGCCTGTACACAAGCTCAGAGACTGCTCTGATCCACTGTAGATGCAGCACATTGAAGCAGAGCGTGGTAATTACCGCGCTCCAGCCAGCCTCCGTGTCTCATGCATCTGCATCCCTGCACTTCAAAATGTCGGCGGGGTGCTCTCTCTTAAGCTCGTTTGATGAGCTTTTGATAAAGTGCCCCCCCTGACATTTTGAAGTGTGGGGAGTCTGATACATGAGATGCTCCAGACGCTTTAATCGGCTCCAAAAGTGGCCCCCACCTTGTCCCCAGAGGATGTGTATAGACACCCCAGGAGCCCACAGGAGCTGGCAAAGGTTTCAATCCTAGGCTTCATTTGATTCAGAAATCTATAGATGCAGGACTCTTCCTGGCAATTCCCCTGTCAGTCGTGTGCAAACACCTTGTACAGGTTCCCTAGCTCTATATGTGTTCTGTATATGTGCATTCGCTCTTATGCAATGACCCTTTTTACACCCAAAGTTTGTTATATGTGAGATCAATTTGTTACATGCGAGGTAAGTGTGTAATGAAGAGGCGGGGGCGAGCGCAGTGCAGCCCAGTGGCTGCAGGCAGGTGGCATCGGCCACTCCCGGGGCAGCTGCAATAGGGAGCAAAGCAGAGGGGACTGTCAGTGGGTGTGGGGTGCAGGATGGGGGGTGCGACTCTTGCTGCTACATGCACCCCGGGAGGGTAGTCGGCTGTGCCGGGTTCTTCGCGGGGGGGTGTGTGCCCCCACATCTGCATGTGGGACGGGAGCAGGCTGCCGCTGCGGGGGCACCTGCGGTGGCACTGGACTCTTCCCTGCAGGGGGCTGGGCACTGCACTCGGGCCAGGTGACAGTGGCAATGCGAGGGGGGTTGTACCCACCCTAAAATTCACTGTAGCCCCCCCCAACCTTCCCTCCCAACACTGCCACCCAGCCTGTACGCAGTGCCCAGCCCCCTGGTGGCATGCTGCTGCTGCCCCACCCCCGCACCGGCAGCCTACCCTTATCCCGTGCACAGATCCGTGCACCCCCTGGAAAGAGCCCAGTGCAGCCCCCCAGCCTGAAGCCCTCCCAGGGTGCACGTAGCAGCAAGAGCCGTCCCCCCGCCATCCCGCGCCCCCACCCACTTATTGCTCCCTCCGCTTTCCTCCCTCCTGCAGTTGCCCCAGGAGTGGCTGATGCCACCCCACTGCCACCGCCCGGCCGCCCCCTCCCCGTCTCCAGCCGCTGGGCTGCACCATGCTCTTCCCTAGCCCCAACCCCTGCCCCACTCCCTCCCTCACCACTGTAGGAACATATCCCTATGTGTTACCTTATAAACTGGGTTCCCTTTATGCGAATTCGAGTTATGCGCAGTTTTCCGGGAATGTATCTACCGCATAAAGTGAGGGAAATCTGTAATTTCCAAGAACTGATAGACAGACTTTCAAGTCTGCAGTCCTCCTAGGTCATTTAAAAGCAGAGTTTCATTCTCCCCTTCCCCAAATTGCAGCAGGATTCACCTACACAGTCTAAAGAAAATGTACCACCTACCCTCATGTTCCAATATATGTGCAGCAGATCGCTGATGAAGAATGCCCGCCCTGGTAAATGATCTATATCTAGAATAACGGGACTGGGATCTTTGAGTCTGACTGTAATGTCCATCTTAAATGGAGAGATTAACTTCTCTTTCTTTGAAACCACGCAACTGACTCTGCAGGGGACACTGGAAACGACTTCCTAAGTCCTTGGGTGAATGCAGACTTGCCTAATTAGAGACTCGTTCTGCAGATCTAGGCTTTATGCAGGAAGTTACAAGCACTAATCGTTACGGATTTGTTCCTGAACGTTCGTAAAAGTTTCTAACTCCCTCTGGTATGAGGCTTTCTTGGATGGCTGATTTGTGACAATGGGCTGAGGTCCTCAAGGGAGGCTCACTTCTAGTTTGATTTTGAACAAGCAAAATGACATTCTTGCTGGAATATTTTCTGTGCGTCAATGTGGCAGTTTCTGAGAACCCAGTAAAGACAGCATACGTCCTAGTCTCAGCGGTGCCTAATGAGACTTTCCTTTTGTAAATAGACAGATAGCATTTGGAGTTTTTTAAGGCAAAAAAAGACTGAAAGTCAAGCTGGTCTCTCGCCATCTTGTTCATTTATCACCATCCATAAAAATGTTGCAAACAATACAAAATTAACCATTCTGATAATGGTGTGTGCGTCAGAATACAATCCATCTCTCTCCCCTGTCCCTGAGAGGGTTTTTACATGGCTGAAGCAGCAAGGCTTATGTTGATTTTCTTCTTTTGTTGTCCTGATTTGTAGTATGCACCAATGAGCAAACGATGGATCTTGCCGTTTCCAGAGAGAAAACATCACCAGATCCCCACTTTTTAAATAGATTTCCCAGGACAGCCACCCTAAACAATAACCTCCTCTCATTTCCCTGTAGATAATTAACATACATCCATGCACTTGCTGATGGCAAAGTTGAGTGAGTTGGGAATTCACTGGTGGTAGCTTGTAGTTACATTTTTTTGGCACTTGAATACCCAGTGATGAGTGTATAATTAGAAATACCCAAATGGAGAGGTGTCATTTTTACCTAGTCACTCTTCTGGCTGTAACTGCACATTTAAGGACTTTGTGTGACAACATATACTGTACTTCTATAAGGCATTTCGCTGCTCTGGTTAAAATAGAAATTAAATCACTCTCAGCTTTTGTGTTACAAATCTGTTTTGTTCTCACCCTAGGATTATCCTTCCCTTGCGCTTCTTGGGGAAAAGCTAGCGGAAAACAATATCCACCTCATTTTTGCTGTGACAAAAAATCATTATGTGCTTTACAAGGTAAGCACTGCTGAAATGCTTGGCAGGGAGATGGTTTTGATGTGACTATGAATCTGCAGGGAGAAAGAGATTTAAGTGTCACTTGAAATATTCCATCCGGACTCGTAGTAGAGAGGATATCTTTTATTAGACCAACAAGATTTTTGCAAAAGAATTTCTTTAATTGCAAGCTTTCGGGCACAAACACCCTTCATCAGGCATTGGAGAAAAGATTGTAAAAGTTCTCCTGGGTAGAAATAATGAAATATTCTTTCCCTAACATTAAGAGAAGGGAAGCAGGCTGGCAGGGAAGGAAAGGCCTACAAATATGTGCAAGGAAAAATATATATACATGTGGTAAATCTACAGAAGCTGTGTTATGAAGCCAGGAATTTTTTACCCACGCTAAACTGAGCCAGATCCCCCTCCTTGCAGCTCTCCAGTTAATTTACAGGGTGCTGTCAACTCGGTGAAAAGTGCTAATGCTACTTAAAGGAAATAGGTAAAGATTACTGGCTATGCGAGCACCTAAAATAGACACTGGTCTAATCTTGATTTTAGGAAAGTTGCCAACAGTCCAGCATAGGAGAGAGCAGAAACCTCTTCAGCTCAGCTATTACTTAATCCCATTACCTAATAGTAGGCAACATATCTGCCTGGCTGGGTTTTTCCTATCATCAAGTCCACAGCCCTGGAGCACTAAATATTATTTCTATCCCCCCTTCCCTTTTCCATTTATAGGAGCATAAGAGGCCAAGATTACTGAGGCTAGCACTTTACCTGGGATAAAAATGTTATCTGAGAGGTATGCGAACCCAGGCTGAGGTGTCTGGTTCCACAGCTTTTTAAGAATGAGACGATGATGCCGTTCCATGTCAAAACAGAGGGAAAAAGGGAGAGGGTGGGATAAAGGTCTGAATCCAGGGTTTTTTTAAAAAAAGAAGTGAAACCGGAATCCATCCCCTGCACTAAAGCAAAATGAGCAGAAATGTTGTAAATCTAAAACATGATTTTAATCCACTGAGAGCTAGATGACTGACTTCATCCTCCACACCCATTTTAGGGAAAACCAGTACATCAGTCAGCATGCTAATTGATGGGAGCCAAGGCTTCATTTCCATAAGCGAGATGGCTTTCCCTGTGCCAAGTTCTGCTTTCACAGACATCAGTGCATAACCATTGGGTCTTACCCTGTCTGATTAAGGGGAGAAGTAATGGGGAGCGTGGTACTGATCATTGACCAGTTCCCTTGACCATGGATTTTAATGAGCGGTCTTACAGACCCATAGGTGGTTAGCTGTGGTAGCCTGAAGTCAGACAGAACTAGGGCAGGCTGGCACCTCAGAGACTAACTCATTCAGAGAGGCATGAGCTTTTCCAGGCAACAGCCACTTCGTCAGCTAGGATGATACATCTGATCAATTAAATCCGAGGTGCCATCCTGCCCTACCTTCTATACACCCATAACGATCCTTTTCTTGAAGGATTCAAATTGCAATTAATGACACTGCATCATGTACACTAATAAATTGCATCATGTACAGTAATAAATTGTCTACTACGTCTTGGGCAAGCAACTGATGGCTGCCTGGGAAGAGTAGGCAATGGAGTTAATTTTTGTCCCCTGTTAGATATACATTTTCTTGGCATTTTCTCTGTTTTTAAAGAATTTTACAGCCCTAATTCCTGGAACAACAGTAGAGATTCTACGTCAAGACTCCAAAAACATAATCCAGCTGATTGTCAAGGCATACAACGTAAGTTGTTGGGTTTTTTTTCTTTTCTCCTTTACTGTTTCAACTGGCTGGTTATAAAATGACTGCAGTGTTACAAAATGAGTGCAGTTCAACATGCTCATTTCTCCCTTGGGTGCTCCACCCGTACTTGGCTTCCTCCTGGTTCTGGTCCTCTGAACATCAGGTCATCGCTCGAACTGCTGCGTCCCACCCTGCGAGGGTTGTGGTGCCTCTGTCACACTCAGGATGACGTTGCTGTTTGTGCAGATTTCAAACCATCTGTCTAGTAGGTGCTTGCTTCGGCTCCCATTACTGTAGTGTCTGAGCATCACAGTCGGTAGCACTCCAGTTCTGACCTCACAGTCCTTTTCCTCAATGGAAACCTAGACAATATCTTCAGAAGATGGGCCCGGGAAGAGAATTTCATAACTAAAAATGTTGGATTTAACACTGACCGTGGTTTTATAGCACGTTAAGATTTACCTGCTCCCACAGCTGCTCTTTCTGTACTCCACAGATAACTGCCCTCTTCCTTTTTTGATTGGTCTTATTCTTTTACAGAAGGAGGTCTATCTGGTTCAGCTGCTCTTGTTTTATCGCTGCTTCTGACTAATTCTTCTCCATCCCATAGATTTACAGCCTCTAACTGAACACTTTCATTTACATAATGGGTTTGAACAGTGGTCATTGTTTCATCTGCTATTTAGCTTAGGCTGTATATGGTGTTTTCTCATACCTGGGGACTGGTCCAGGAGGCTTTTGTGTGTCTGCAAGCCTGTCTTGACATCTCTGCCAACTAGAAAGTTGGTATAAATTAAAAAGATTATTAGTAGACAAATTGTGCTTCCCACTTTCTGGGCCCTCACAGTTGCAACAAGACTACTATCCTTGCAATAATCCTTTGAGGTAGGCAGTAATTCTTATCCTCTTCTGCAGATGGGGAATGGAAGCACAGAGAGGCTAAGAAGCAGGTCCCATTTGTTCCAGGGGTACCTACATAGGACTTAGGCAGAATACAAGTGTCCGACTTGCAAAATAAGTCATATCAGCTCTGTTCCGGCAGCTGCAAAACCACTCATCTTTCTAGAAGCATTAGGCACCTCTGCTTTGCTTGGATTTAGCCTTTTGTGCATGCTGAGAAGTAATGTAGACCAAGCCCCTAGTCCCCTAACCTGCCTGAGGCTGAAGTGGAGGAATCTATGAGAACGATTTGAATCTGGGCCTAAGCGCTTTGCTCAAGGATCTGTGGCAGGACAGGGGTGAGAACCTGGGACTTGCATGTCCCAAGCACCCTAGTGGTGATCAGATGAGGGAGTGCTTTTTTGTGCCATAGTGTCTGTATCCAAAGGCTGTCTTCAGGCCTGATGCATTCAAGTCCATATTGGTTTTTCCATCAACTCCAATGCAGGGTGGGTCAAGCCCTTTGGTTCTCCCTGACTCTGGGTATGGGCACGTGTCTGGGCAGCAATACATAAGAGAATATTTGCTAAAACCATCAGACCCTCACCTGGTCCAGCCCGCATTCCTGATTGAAACTCTGAGGCTTGCAGTGGACAGCAGAGGTTTGAGTTTGTATGGCTAACGCTGATCATGTCGTTATGCTCCTCTCTGAACAGACTGATCAGAAGTGAAACAAAAAATTGTCGGGTGAAGTTGCTCATGGCCAGCGTTAGTGATTTTTTTAATATGGCTTTCATACCCATATTCTTGGGAAACTATTGACCTTTGATTGCAAGATACGTGAGAACTGCGTCTTGCAGCATTCCTG